TCTGATGCTTCCCGACAGCCCAGCCTGCTGCACCCACCTCTCACACCACCCCAGGACCCTCCCAGCTCCACCAYCATCACCCCCCAACCCCATCAGTTCCCCAGCGTCCCTGTCCCTCCTTGCTGCAATGACAGAGCACCACAGCTGCCTTTTCCCTTCCTGGGAGAGTTTGGGTGTCAGTGTGGGACCACATGGGTGAGGTGCATGATCTGCTGCTTGCATTTTCTGCTGCAGGACAGGTGCCCTGGGCTCAGCAGAGAAGGACACAGCCTTGTCCCAGARGTTTCTTATTCCTCCCTGGAGGTGTCAACCCTGCACACTCCATTCCCTCCTGTCCTTCTGCCTTTGCAGTGTCAGGGACAAGCTGGAATCACTTCTCTCTCTGGGCAGCTTGGGAAGAGGGCCAGGATATTGAGAAGATGCACGAGAAGGAGCCGTGGTAGAAGAAGCGTTTATTTATTCTGCTGAGGAGGATGCGACAGGATGCGCCCCAGTGCCAGGAAGAATTTTGCAGTGGTTAGTGGAGCAGCAGCAGTGGCAGGCAGTGATGTCCCACTCAGGAGCAAAGAGTCACAGCTGGTGACAACTGGGAGTGGAGCTCGAGTGCCCAGAAGGAGAGAGGGATGAGTCCACAGCCTCCAGGGTGGTGCAGGCACTGGTGGAAGCACAGGACACATCTGGATGCTCAATTTGGGACCAGCCCCATGTGCTGTGGCACTAAAGCATCCCACACAGCCATCCCCAGGGGAACACCCCCGATGCCATGGGAGTCCCTCAGGCCGTCTCTGGGGACACCAGGAACCCGCTGAAGACGCTGTCCACCTCGGAGCCGCTGTAGATGGAGCTGGCCCCGGCAGGGTCGGTGGTCAGGGACACCTGGTCACCCACAGCCAGGCTGAGCACGCTGCTGCCCGAGTTCACCTGCAGCATGGCCTGGCTGTTGTTGTCACAGAAGCTGACCACGCGYGCCCCGTTCTTGGCGATGCTCAGGCACAGGTCCCCGCTGGACACCACCTGGAAGGAGAAGAAGTAGAGCCCGGGGATGCTGCAGGTGAAYTTGCCGGTCTGGGCGCTGTAGGAGTTCTCCTGGTTGGTGATGATCCTGTCGAACACCACGGTGGTGCCGGAGCGTGGCGGGGCGAGTCTGGAGGCGGAGAAGGCGGGCCGGGGGTGCTCCAGAGCGGTGACAGCGCTTCCTTTCWGTCCCGGCWGTCCCGGCTGTCCTGCGGGCCCCGGGAGGCCGGGCGGGCCAGGTGGGCCGGCCAGGCCGGGTGAACCGGGAAACCCTGGCTCGCCTGCATCCCCCTTGGATCCCTTGGTGTCTGTGCCTGAYGCTGCTCTCCCTGGGGACAAGTGGGGACAAGGAGGAGTTTGTGCCTTTCTGGGATCTCCCGAGCCGCTCCCACAACCTGKGAGGCTCCCAGGCTCCAACATCCCCGGTTTCTCTCACCTGGCTCTCCCGTGTCACCCTTCTGGCCCGGCCTGCCATCTCTGCCGGGGACTCCAGGAGAGCCGTTCTTGCCGTCCGGTGCCTTGCACACGCTGTCCTCCAGGAGGGCCATGCCCAGCACTGCTGCCAGGGTGCCGGCCAGCAGCCAGAATCCGGGCTGCATCCTGCCTCCTGCCACACAGGGACGGACTGGGGACAAAAAACACACACACAGAGGAGCCTTGGGCACACCTTGGCAGGTGCCCGCATCGCAGCATCCACACATCTACTGCATTGCCCGGGATGGATAACCAGACACCACAGGCACAGGTGGGAAAAACTTCCTGGGACGGTTTTGAGGCTGTTTCCCTGTGTGACCTGAAATCACTGATGTCACTGAAAATCTCTGGCATGCCCAGCACAGAGCTGTGGGATTGGAAAGCCCAGGATGTGGATCAAGGCACAAACCCTTCACTGCMTGTCCTGGGCAGGGGTGGGGACACCTCAGATGCCTGCAGGGGATGTTTATTCCAGTTTTGGGGCAGAAGCACTGCTGTATGGGGCCATGGTCCCACGGGATAGAGAGCACAGGGGAGGAAGCACATAACAGGGATAAAGTGGAAAGGGAAAACAGGCAAATGGGATTTGACTATCCAACACACACAGAGAGGAGGGAGTGAGGACACAGACCTATCCCAAAAGCTGAGTTACACAGCCCAGAACATGCCTGCAGACCCCAGTTCTGTCCACAACCACACAGAGCAGGGACAGATTCTTGCAGCTCCCCCTCTCCTCGCACATAATCTTCTCCCTGCTTTCCTACTTGGAGCCTTTGTGGAGTTGGAAGTGAAGAAAGGAGAAGGACAGGGAGCAAGGGCTGGAAAGTGGTGGCARAAGAGCAGAGTGTCCCCAACTGGTAAAGTGGTGACTTACCTCGGTGCAGGGATGAAGACAGAGCAGTGTGAGCAGCAGCTCCGTTTGCTGAAAGCTCTTCTCTGAGAGAAGGGAGGAAGAGGACAGGGGTGGGCAGGATGACCTTGCATGCACTGGGCTTTGCCCGGTTGGAGAAGGGATGTGTTGAGTTTCACTTTCTCTGTATGAGAAAGAAATTTGTTCCCCTTTCCTCTCTTGACTCTGGATTTATGGGAAACAGCTTTGGTCAGCAAGAGGGCAGGAGTGCTGGGTGCCCAGCCTGGCCCAGCAGCACAGTCCCCACAGCAGGGACTGCTGGTCACTGGGCACAGAGCAACAGGGCTGGAAGATGCCCACAGACTGCTGAGATGGCACGAGGGGACAGGTGATGTGAACACCAGGTGTCACAGCCACCCAAGGGATGCTCGGGGGAGCCCAGGGATCACCCTCCTGGTCTGGATGATGGACAGAGTGTCCATCTGGTCACTCAGCTTGGCCATGGCACTGCTGGGAGCTAACCTGTCCAGATGCCMACCTTGGCACTGTACCCGGATGGAGCAGGGTCCAGCAAAGGGATCATTGTCCCTGTGTGGCTCAGATGGGCCTTGAGGATTTAGGCTCAATTTCAGAGAAAGGTTCTTCCCCCAGAGGGTGCTGGCACTGCCCAGGCTCCCCAGGGAATGGGCACGGCCCCAAAGCTGCCAGAGCTCCAGGAGCGTTTGGACAGCACTGCCAGGGATGCACAGGGGGGGATTGTTGGGGTGTCTGTGCAGGGTCAGGAGTGGGAMTGATGATCCTTGGGATATCCTATCCAGCTAAGGATAGTCCATGGTGCACTGATCTCCTTCCTGCTGCCCTCACCTCAGTGCTTTGGCATCTAGAGTTGAGTGGGAGGAGGTGGGGATGTCTGGCACCCATGATGGTCTGGGCCCCTTTGGGTGGCTGTGCCTTGCACCAGCCACATCTGAGCAGCCCCAGGAGTTGTGTGTGGCATCATGAGATCTGCAAATGGAACAGCAGCACCTCCTATCACTGAGTGCAGGGAGTGAGTCCAGGAGCGCACTTCAACTCTGCCATAAAGGAGCCCCAAAACGCCCCCAGTCCCTAAACCCCATCATGTGAGGGGTGGGAGGTGCCACAATAATCCCAGCAGGTGATCATCCTTGGGACCCCAGGGACCAGCCATGACCCCATGGGGGCACAGTGGCAGTGAGGAGGGGCTTTCTGATCCACACACCCTCTGTGTCCTGTCAGGGGTCCTGTGGCAGCTGCACTGACCCTCATGAGGAACAGGACTGGGGCTCCAGAGCTGGAGCTGGGGCTCAGGGGAGGATGGCCAAGGAAAGGGGGCACTGAGCAGGTCTGGGATTAGGGTGACTCCAAAAGGGGAGTCTGGGAAAACCCCCCTCCCCCTGCCTGCCGCCTCCTGCATTCCCAAGGGAGGTGTTGCATCGTTTCCAAAACAGCTGAAAAAGGCAATGACCAGAGCTCAGCCCAGAGACCTTTGCCAGCAGAGATCTGTCACTGAGCTGGTCTTTAATTCATTAACTAAATGCTCTCTTAATGCAATATAATACACATTTTWAATCAAAATGTCACCCTGTAATAAATCAGATGCCCAGAAGAAATGGGATTTTATTTTATCAGCRGAGTTCTCCTATCAACCGGACCTGTAACCGTGTCAAGACAAGATGACAGGTGAGTTTGAAAGGACCTACCTTCCTCCAAATGGTGCTTCTGGACAGTAATTGTATTTCTGTCCTATTGCCCTTTCTGAATATACAGYCCAAATGAGACCACTCCATCATTTCAGCCAGCACTGATTGATGGCTGTGTCCCCGTGCTCTGTGTCCTTTGTCTCCTGCTGTCCCCTTAACCCCAGTTAAATTCTGAATTACGGGGGCTGGCTGTGGGTTACCAGCATCTCCTGGAAGCTGCTGTKGGTCTGGGTGTTCCCTCCTCCCTGTCCATGAGATTTCTGGCAAGTTTAGCCCCACTCACTTGACTTTCAGAGTTGCTATGGTCAAGTCAAGCTTTCCTCTCCCATCCTCTGAGCATCTCCTCCTCTTCCTCCAGACCTGTAGCTGGGACATCACAGAMTRGTTTGGGTAGGAAGGAACCTTAAACCTCATCCCATTACCACGGGTAGGGACASCTTCCACTGTCCCAGGGTGCTCCAARCCCTGTCCAGCCTGGCCTTGGRCACTGCCAGGGATCCAGGGGCAGCCACAGCTTCTCTGGGCACTCTGTGCCAGGGTCTCCCCATCCTCTGAGGAAAGGATTTGTCCCAAAGACCCCATCTGACCCTGCCCTCTGGCAGTGGGAAGGCATTTCCAGTGACAGCCGTGGCCCCAGAGGTGGCGGCCGCAGGAACCCGGGATGAGCATCACACGGTGCCACTCCAGAGCCTCTGCAAGACCGCACCCACCAGCACAGAAATGTCCCCAGCCCGGCACCACCCGGCTCTTCCCCCTCTCACCGCCGGCAGCAGGGGAGTGTGGCCGGCCCGGCAGCGAGGGGACGAGCCACGAGATGGCACTGCTGCCTCAGCCACCGTGTCCCCTGCCCGCCGGCATCGCCGTCCTGTGCCCGCAGCGGGGATGGGCTGACCCCCGGTGTCCGCAGCGGCGTGTCCAGCTGCAGAGTGCCCACAGAGAGCCGGGGTGACCCATCTCCCCGAACGGCCCCAGGCACCCTTTGCCAAGGGTGGGGACACTCCCTGAGGCTGGGGGAGCACTGGGGTTCGCTCGGGGAGCGCAGGGGTTCGCTCGGTGAGCTCAGGGGTTCGCTCGGGGAGCGCAGGGGTTCGCTCGGGGAACACTGGGGTTCGCTCGGGGAGCACTGGGGTTCGCTCGGGGAGCACTGGGGTTCGCTCGGGGAGCGCAGGGGTCACAGGGGTTCGCTGGATGAGCGCAGGGGTTCGCTCGGGGAACACAGGGGTTCGCTCGGTGGGCACAGGGGTTCGCTCGGGGAGCACTGGGGTTCTCTCGGTGGGCGCAGGGGTTCTCTCGGGGAGCGCAGGGGTTCGCTCGGTGAGCACAGGGGTTCGCTCGGGGAGCACTGGGGTTCGCTCGGGGAGCTCCAGGCCATGGAGGGAGGTGCGGGGGCTTAAAGCAGCGGGCGGCTCCGCGCCTTCTCCTCTCAGCACGGGTGATAACCTAATTGCTTCCAGAGTTTAAAAGTAATCAAGCTGTATTAAAGGAACTTAAATAAAACCGGTTTGCCGCGCACTGGCTCCCCTTGTCCTTCAGAAGGTAAATTGAAGTCCCCGTTTCTGGAGAAACTGCGTTAAAAATCTTGCATTTATGTGACGTATGCGAAAAATGTAAACAGGTTTTGAAAGGGTACGGGTAAAGTGGTGGTGCGGGGGCTCCCGCAGCAGAGCCCCCAGCAGCACCACGGGCCGGCTCCAGCACAGAGCAGGGGCGGGGACAATGCGGGGCACCCGCAGGTGACATGGAATGGGGTCAGGAAAGGAGGGGTTACAGCCACAGGGTATAGTGCTCTGCAGAGCCCCAGGTATCACAAAACCATCTCCGAAAAGGATGGTGCCCTGGGTTTGGGGAACCCGAGCACTGAGGTGAGCATCCCCATGATTTAAGGCACCTTTATGGCGTCGTGGCTCCGCTGCACACTCAGGAACTCCGCTCCGGGTTCTTTTTACCCCGAGCACYCCTCCTCCTTTCAGCTCGGGCCATGGGGCACCTCCTTCACCTCTGGTTTACCCCAGCCGGGGGTGCCAGGCGGGACGGG